ATATGTGCTAAAAAGCTACCTACGTACCGAATTTTAAGCAAATCGGACCGTAAATACGATTTTTTGGAATAGATCGGTCCCTGGTCCACTTCTCGGAAAAAAATTGATCACATATGCTAATACATGCTAAAAAGCTACTTACGTACTAAATTTTAAGCACATCGGATTATAATAAGATTTTTTCCAATAGACCGGCCCTGGTCCACCTGCCCGAAAAAAAGTAAAAATTTTTTAGCCTAAAACATGGTGGTTACCGAAAGCTATTTGTATACAAAATTTCATGAAAATCGGACCAGCCGTTCGCGAGGTTACCTGTTACAAAAAAAAGGGACTTCTCTTTATATAATTAGTATAGAAGTATAGATATAGATTTATTTATTTTTTTATGAAAGTGTAGCTCTTTATCTAACAAAAACCATGTAAGTAAAAATTTCAAACTTGGTACTAAAATTAGCAAAATTCTATAGCTTTTTAATTAGATCTTATAGAAACATTCTGAGTATACAGCTTTGTATCCCATTAAATTTTATTACAACGAAGTGCAAATTTTAAGTAGCTGGTACTTACCGTTGATTTTTGGCAACTTTTTTTGTGGAAGGTTTGCTGATTTTCTCCATACAAAAAAATTTTCGAATATACTTTGTATGGAAGAAAATGCGTGAACAGAAAATTGCCAAAAATCAACGATAAGTCCATTAGTATACTAAAATTTTAAAGCTGCATACTCAATCTACACCTTTTCCAACAGTATTTCAGAAAAACACAAATGTATTTCAGAAAAGGCCAAATGAATTTCAGAAAAGGCCAAATGAATTTCATAAAAACTCAAATTCAGAAAACCTCAAATATATTTCAGAAAAGCTCAAATGTATTTCAGAAAAGGCCAAATGAATTTCAGAAAAGGCCAAATGAATTTCATAAAAACTCAAATTCAGAAAACCTCAAATATATTTCAGAAAAGCTCAAATGTATTTCAGAAAAGGCCAAATGAATTTCAGAAAAGGCCAAATGAATTTCATAAAAACTCAAATTCAGAAAACCTCAAATATATTTCAGAAAAGCTCAAATGTATTTCAGAAAAGGCCAAATGTATTTCAGAAAAAGCCAAACGAAATTCAGAAGAACGCAATTGTATTTCAGTAAAGTTCAAATTATTTTCACAAAAACGCAAATGTATTTCAGAAAAGAGCAAATGTATTTCAGAAAAGCACAAATGTATATCAGAAAAATATTTTTAGAACACAGTTATGCTTTTCTGAAATACATTTGTGCTTTGCTGAAATACATTTGCCCTTTCCTGAAATACATTTGCGTTTTTCTGAAAATCATTTGATTTTTTCTGAAATATAGTTGTGTTTTTCTGAATTTCATTTGTCTTTTTCTGAAATACATTTGGCCTTTTCTGAAATACATTTGAGCTTTTCTGAAATACATTTGAGGTTTTCTGAAATACATTTGAGTTTTTCTGAAATTCATTTGGCCTTTTCGGAATACATTTGTGTTTTTCTGAAATACTGTTGGAAAAGGTGTACTTCTATAAAATCTGATTTAACAGTTTCAAACTTTGATGAACATTTGTCGAATTTTTATAAATGTTCTACAAAGTTTGAAATTTTCGTTTACATGTTTAGACAGTAAGATATAAATATATAAATATAAATAAATAATAAATATTTTTTAAACAAAGAAAATAGTAAAACTTGCTAAAATGTTTCTTCCCCATTTCCATTCTCACCACTGTACATCATAAAAACGAAACACGAGAACACGTTTATGACAGGAGGACTCAGATGCATAATATTTTAAGCTTTAGATTAATTAAGAAAATAAAAAATAAATAACATGCCGACTAATCGGTCGGACTCTAGTTGATGGCAAATTTGATAGCCTTTACTAATACCGTTTTCTTTTCTCGAAATATTGTTGCCTTTATTTTGCACTGCCCCAGGGCTATCAAGTTTTCGTTTTCTTTTCTTAGCATATTCACATGTATATTGCGTGCTCTTTCTTTAAAATGTTGCACTCTGATAATCTTGCCATATAAGAAGGTGACATTTTTATTTCGAGAAAAGATAATGCCATAATACAAAAAGAAGTTTAACACTGGCCAACCACATCCAAAGAAAAAAAATTGCAATTAGGCGAATGTACTTTTTTCAGATCTCAAAAGCCCGAAATTTGGCTATGTCTCAAAGTCTGTTATACTTTCTTGTATTCATATTTCATATTCGCATTCAACGGAATGCGACTACTATATCAGAAAAAAATTTAATTAACTGAGTGCACTTTTATCAGATCTCAAAAACCCGAAATTCGGCTACATCTCAAAAACTGTTCTACTTTCTATTTCGCAAAAAAAATTAGTAAAATTTTTAGTTTCCATCAAAAAAACACGGAAAAAGTTCTATTAGGTCAGCAATTTTTGGTGCTCTATGCATGAGAAAAGAACTTTAAGAAAATTTGGGAGTCTAAGAAAACAGGCATGTTGTAATTTGCATGTTTGAACTCGACAAAAAAACGCGGTAAAAAAAAATTCTTCGTTGCTTACAAGTAACCATAGTAACAACGCGGTGCTGTTTGAATAAAATGTTGCCATTAAATGTTATTCCTGGTATATGTACTTGGCGAATTTTGCACCATATACATATGTATGTATGTGTGAATATATACATACATATACAAATGTTTGTTTTTATACATTTTTAAAAAAATTCTAAACGTTCTAATGACCTCAGATAGGAATTTTTATCATGCTTTAGATCAAACACGCTTTAAATGAATTATTAATTTTTATCAATGCACGAGCAAATATTATGTACATAAGTGCAAAACAAATGAATTTACGTCAGTATATACATACATACATATATAAGTCAAATCAAAGTGAAATTTTTTGAATGATTTTTTTTACCTAAAGTTTGAACAAATTTTGGTATTACCAATCAAGATTTCTTTAATGGGATGCACTTACATATCGACGGTACTTTGGCAAAACCTCGTATCTCAGAACTCACTACTACTTCGTATCTCGTAAAATATATTCAAAATAGGCCTTGAAATACTACGATTAATTGTACATATATTATTCTTAATTAACAAAAAAGTCGTTAATCTTTAATATTCATTAAAAAAGTAATTAAAAATGATTTTCTATTATTAATAGAGCGTTTTTAGTTAGAGAGCGTTGTTTAACGGTGTTTTAAGATACGAGGTTTTGCCAAAGTACCGTCGATTAAGGATGTCAATCCCGGGATGTCGGGATCCCGGGATCCCGGTCTTTTTTTTATCCCGGGATTAGTCGATTTAAATCCCGGGATTGCTGGAAAAAATTTTTTTGTTAGCCAATTAAATTTTTATCAGAAATATCCCCTCTCAAGGGCAAAACTAGAATTTTTTGCAACTCTTAATGCTATCTTTCTTTAAGATCGCATTTCCATCAAAAGAAGGAATAATTTTGCCTCGCTCAAAATGGAATAGGTGATGCGCTTATATATTTATTTTTTACTTAAATGTGTTAACTTTTTTATTATTACTTAAATATACTGATAATATCTTAAATTGATCTCAAACAGTGATTTAAAAAATTTTATATAGTTACATAGGCAGTTACTGCTGTACCAAATATAAAAATATTTTGCATAGATTTTTTTGCAATACTCAAAATATTTTTCATGGTATTTTTTTGTTAATTAAAAAAAATATATAGCTCATTTTACAACAAAAATCATGTAAATCGAAATTTCACACTTTAGAGAAAGTTGGTTTAAGTTCACCAAATTATCATAAAAATATCAAACTTTTTAACCATAATTTAAAAAAAAATCTATTATGCAGTTTTTATTTTAAAGTTGCTAAAAACTCCCTTGATTTTTGAATTTTTTTTACTGACGATGTTGGGCATTTTCTTCCTTATTACGAATTTTTTTGTGGCAAAAAAAATATATATAAAACTTCAAAATTGCACATACGTATATATTTTTTTAAATTAACAAAAAAAAAATACCATGAAAAATATTCTGAATATTGCAAAAAAAAAAATCTATGCAAAATATTTCTCGGAGTGACCGTATATGCATTTGTACTTGTAGTTACTATGTTATAAATTAATGAGGATATGTACATACATACATACATATATGTTTGTCAAATTTTATGTTTGTTTTTTGTTGATTGAAAATACTGATTTATCGCCTTAATAAATATGTAAATGAATTACAATAAATTGTACTTTTTTTGTTATATCAATCTGATTTAAAATACTATAATAGTATGATCACAGATGTGTTGCACTTTTACCTGAATTTCGGGACAATTCCGGGATCCCGGGATTGTATTTTCAGATCCCGAAAATCCCGGGATCGACAAAACCCCGAAAATTGACATCCCTACCGTCGATATGTATGTATGCATGTACATACATATATCGCCGTTTAAAGTGCAAAACCGCGTATCAACAAAATGCAAAACCGCGTATGTGAAGTTGTAGAAATTATTTTCTAGAGCGTATAAATACTGATATTTCAAAATGGTTCTCTTTTTTATAAAGCAATCGAATTTCTGGATAGTATATTTCAGGACGAATGGATAAGGATTGAGCCAAGAACTTGTGTGATCAAATCCAATTTTTGGCACCCAGTGTCAGTTACGCGGTTTTGCAGAATGACGATACGCGGTTTTGTACTTTAAACGACGATATGTATGTGGGTTATGTGATTTTAGAAGCTTTGATTTTGGATGAAAAAATAAGGAACTTCCATAGAAAATTTGTAAATTTTTCACAATTTTTTTTTAGAGTGGCATTTTATGTAAACCTCAACACTGATTGGTTATTATGTAGTTCGAGTAATGTAATGTATTGGTTATTATGTAGTTCGAGTAATTGTGCGTTTCCGATTTAGGGCTTTAGACAAAAAATTGCCGAACTCGAGATAAGCTGTTTCTTCAAATGGCCACAGATATGTATGTATGTACATATGTACTTATAGCTTTATTGTACTCACGTTTGATTGATGTTTGAGGTCTTTGGAGAACAACGATGGCAGGAAGGTACTCGTCGAACTGGAGATTATGGTATTCTCATCTACGATTTCATCCAATTGCTTGTAGAGTGCTTGTTTCCATTCTAAACGTTCTGGTATACATTCCTGTATAAAAATGGCGTCTTTTACCATCTCCTTGATATCAGTTGTGCCTGAAATTAGTGCACACTGTTGGGTGGCATTGAGCTTGCCACGTAGCAAACCTTTGGATTCCAAGTTTTTCAGTTCTTTTTCGGTTTCCTTCAATGCATTTTCAATTTGTGTCGACACGCTGTCGTAAAGGAAAACTTGGTAGCCAACAGAGGCAAATAACATCGACCACGAACGTCCAATAAGGCCACTAGACAATAGTTTTTTTTTTTTAAATACAGAATTTTTACTCAATATCAAGATGTCCTTACCTGCCCACAATGCCAACTTTGCCTTTGCTTGTCATTATGTATTTTCGTATTTAAACAATTGAAAACAATTTAGTTACTCTGGCACTGATTTGTTTTGTATGTATAAAAAGCAATCACCACCAGCTGTCGTTGTGAATTGTTCGACCTGTTGTACATGTCTGACATAAGCCAATGGTTGGAGAGCACCTTTAAATACTGTTGCTCTGTCGGCTATTAGTGTTTGGAGCTTTGACGTCTTCACTTATCACTCTCGACGGTTTGTCGCACGGTACTTTATGAATAGTGTTGCCAAGTTTCCATCTTTAGCATATATGATAAGCATTTAGAAATAATAAATACTGAGATTAAAATTAAGTAATAATCCACCTACACACATTGCTGATAAGCAAAAGTGTATGTACATATGTTTACCTATACAACTATACCAACAAAGATATCATTATGCATCAGAATCTGTAAAAACGGCTTTACTAAAATCCGTTCAATTGATACTGGAAAATTTCTAATTTTGGGTATAGTACCATAACAAAACTATAATCACATAATAATAAAAACAATAGCTGTAAAGCATACATTCAGCGAACTTCCAATTGATGCAATTATTACTAGTGATTTTTTGATCAGCTTTTCTGATTATGTCACATAAAAGCTTCATGAAAAGCTTGCTATCACATCATGCATAGTTTATACATAGTACACTGAGGGAAATAATATAGTAAAAATGAATACTTTATGTTTGATTATCGTTTAAAAATTTTAGTATTTAAAAATAATAATAAAAAAAAAAATTTATTACGCACGTGTATGACTGTTCACATCTTAGTATATATGTATATGTAAAAGCTCAAACAGACGACAGCGTTGATCCGGATTAATTTGGACTTAATTCGGATCAACTGCAGTTAATTCCCGAGTTGATCCGGATCCGTCTGTTTATGCTCTAAGTGTATATACGCATCCCCAGCATGCAGAACGCCCAGCAATGATCAGACTTCTACCACATTGTGGTAGATCTGCCACTTTTTTGAGCATCTACCACACAAGGTAGATGTCGTTCCCACGACAGTCGGGTCTACGTAACCGGAACGACCCAGATTTATATCTGGCCAAGGACTGTCACTCCAGCAACACTCCCCAAAAAGACTTTGGGGAATTTGTATGGTGCTACAACAACAACAACAACCACACAAGGTCTGAAATCTACCACATACTCGCGTTTTTGAGCACCAACAACAGGCAGAATGGGAGGATAAAATAAACTGTGAAATAGTAAATTTTCTCAATATTCAACTTTTTCGACAGGAAACTTGGTTTTATTGTGTTAAATTGCAAAATATATGATTTATAGGAAGAACTAATAGCGACAATTTAAAAAATGGCCATTTTTGTGAAAGTATTAGCAAATTTAAGTGCATCTAAAGTTTCTAAAGAGTTGTTTACTTTTACTTGAGAATTGTCAAAATCGGCAAATCCCAAGTAGCGGTTTCTGGAACGTGCCGCATTTGTTCCCTACATCGTGATGTGATAAAAGAAAAGCTGGCAGCACTCCGCAAGATTGCAGAAATCTTACAAAATATGTTCGAAAAATATCCTGATATGGAAGGAACTGCTTTACATTGCCAAGGAAAAGAATTTCTAAAACTCAACATAATTTTTAGCAACTTCAATCTTGCACTTTATTATACTAAAATTAATTTTTTCTTAGATTCTAATTAAAATGTTGCAATTTAGGTGAAACCTTGCAGAATTTTTTTAATTTTTGTACAAAGTTTGATCCAAAACCTGAGATCTACCACTTTATTTTCCAGATTCTACCACACAAATTTTTTTTAAAGACCGATCTCTGACGACCAGTAGAAATCGGTTGTATGCATTCATGAAGTATGTGTGCTGTATTAGTGAAAAAGTGTGAACAATTCAAGAGCGGCTATGAATTTCCAGAAATTTAGTAAAATTCTGGCGAACTGTAAGCGAACGTACGTTGTTGTTGTTTTAAGTACATTTCTCTATACATTTGACTACTATACAGCACCTCAAAATGTTTGTAATATTTTCAGTCTTCTGCAAAAATTTTACCGAACGGACGTGTTGTGCGATAATATTTTCGGCACTAATAGGGTTTTACATGATATGGATTTGCATATGTAATGCTACATACGGGTCATATGTACTATTTGTAAACTACCTCACAACTAGTATGACTCGCATGCCCAACTAGTCAGCCAACTATCTTTTTTCCATGCAATCAACTGGCATTTTTAACATAGGGATGTCCTACGAGGTCAGAAATATACCAGTCTCATACTAGTTCAAAATAGACAGAAAAATACTAGTTCAATTATGGACCAAAACCACTACTTAGGGAGTCAAAAAATAAAATGAATTCATGAATATACAATAAAAAACTTTTGATTTAGTACACTTTGCCTAAGATTTGCCAATAATTAGTGTTAAATTAAAAGCAAAAATAAATACATAAATATTTCAAACTTTCGAACATAAATTTAAATGCATTTTTCAGTAAATGTTATTAAAAGTAAAAGCTTTCAGGTACAATAAATACTATATTTTTCATCTTTTTTAATAATATCAAGAATGCAAAAAAAAACATTTTAGTGGAAAATAAAATAGATACTTTAGTTCAAACTATCATCACGAATGATCATTTTCGAGTGAACTTAAATAAAAATAAAAGTTTTGATTAAATTAAATTAAATTCACTAACTTTGCACATTTCAGTCCTTTCTTTTTTAAACTTTATAAAAGTAATAATTAACGCATAAAATTTGAGATTTTGATAAGAAGAAAATAAATAAATAATTCATGCAGTTATTAAATATTCTTAATTTTTGTCTATAGTTTGGCTTGTCGATTGATAATTGAAATTAATCAAATAATTATATTAATAGTGTAATTAAAAAAAGTCCAAAATAATAGCAAATGATCAAAAATAACAAAATAATGATGTAATTAAAATTAACGAATTAAAATAAAAAAATTGTTTAAGTAATTAATGATTAATCATTAAAAATATCGGTATTTAATCATTAAACGGTTATCCAAAAAAACATGCTTAATTAATAATCATTATGAATATCTATATATTAATACGGAACATAAATTTTGTCTCCGTTCGTTTGGCGATTCTACCGAACCGATTTCAAAACCAAGGCATTTTTCCGTAGATGAGTAGAGTTGAAAGGCATTTTTCCGTAGATGAGTAGAGTTTTTATGGTTTCACAATTGGTTGAAAATTACGGCCAAAACCGTCGTTTAAACATTTTCGAATTGTGTATAGATGTTGCTGCAACATGTTCAATTTGACGTGTTTCGCCTGTTGTTTCACTACAGATTTGAAATTAAGCTTTGAAATAAAGACAAATATGAAGATGAAGAAATAAATGAAAACGATGAAGTAAAAAAAGGAGGCAAAAGTGAAGATAAAGACGAAAATGGAGACAATGGCAGATACATAAGAATTAGGGTAACTGAAAGGGTTAGAACATTTCTTGAATTTATGAAGTGAAACTTCTTTAGCGCCAGTTGGTTGGTTGGGAGAAAATTGTCAAATTCAAGGGGAATAATGCACATGGAAATGGTACTCAGCGGTTTAGCGGTTTGAGAATAAAAACAAAAACAAAGATGCCTAGAGGTACAGGCAAAACCGAAGATCAAAGTAAATTAAAACACTTTAAGATAAAGGTGAAGAGGAATATGCAAAAATAAAGATAAATATGAAGAAAAGGATGAGGATGAAGATCGATATTGTTATCGATATAAAACTCGATATTTTTATCGATATGATAATCGATATTGCTATCGATAAAGTAATTGATATTGTTACCGATACTGTTATTGATTAAATAACCGCTATTGTAAGCGATATAATAATCAATATAATAATCGATATTGTTATCGATACAATAATGGATATTGTTATCGGTATAATAATCGATTAAACAATTGATTT